CTGATATCCACCCCGTATGGACCTGCTTTGGCCGCCCCTGTAGGCTGGGTTGCCCTGTCCAAAGGCAAAGTGCTCACCCGTTTGACGCCTAGGTTCGTCGTAGGCGAGCAGCTGGCCCCCTCGTCGAGAGGCATGAGACCTCCTGGCCTGTTCGTCAGATGATGCTGCCGACGTAGCCTGAGCAGGAGCCAGCGGGGGTTCCTGAGGGGCCGCGGGCAGCGCATCTTGGGAAGGCAGGTCTCCCTGCAGACTGGAGTCTGGTACAAGTGGCTCTTGTGCGGGTGGTGGTGCGTCAGGGCTGTCTGGGTCGAAGCCCACCTCCTCGTCTTCGCCATTGACTTCCATCGTGAGGATGGTGGTCTCGTCCTCGCACATTCCACATCCATCATCTTCTTCAACTCCTAACATAGGGTTGCCAATGACAATGGTCATTGGCCCAGCCGGGACGGGCAGGTTCCCCTGCTGCACAGGGGTCTGAGCATCGCTTGGCTGTCCCGGCGTCGGCGGTACGGCAGTCGGCTCAGGCTCGTCACCGAGCGCGGCGTGCGCCTCAAGCTGATCATAGTCATATGAGGGCTGCCCGATAACATTTCGCATGGCCGTATGGTTGGGCTGTAGTCCCACCGCCTGGAGACCCCATCCCGGCGGAGGAAGCGCCTGTCCACGCATGGTAATAGCACTCTCAAGGGCTCGGCGCCAACGCCCCTTTGCGCACCATACATGTCGCTGCGCGTCCTCAGGGAGCACGCTGTCGATGAGAGTAAGAGCCGCCAACAGCAACTCCGAGTCGTCACAGACATCGGTGTCTTGTAGCATCACGTGGCCACTCTCAACACTCTGTTGACTCCCGGGATGTTCTTCAGCTTGTGCGGAGTGCATCTGAATGAAAGTCTGCAGTGCCGTGTATGGTCCGTACTCGCCTGGCGCGAGCATGCCAGGCGGTTCGTGAGGATTGCCTGGCACGCCCACGGTGAATGCTTGAGCCTCCAGTTCCATCAGTTCACCGCAATTCGGCGGATACACTGGAGTGGGCCCGTTTCCAGGCATGAGGTCGGGTTGACGTCGAAGGTGGTGTTCAACCTCCGAAGGCGAGGCCTCAACAGTGACGTTCTCGTCGCTGCTCTCGTAGGCAATGATTCTGCCTGGGTTACCGGACATCCAGTCGAAGAAAGAAAGGGGCTGGTTCCCCAGCGCTCCGTTCTCCACAGGCGTAAGCTCGATATTCCCGAAGACGAACCTGCGGAGGTACTCGAGGTAGTACGCGTAGAGCCCATGGCCGTACGCCTCGATCTCGTCCAGATTGTCCACGTTGCTGACCCAAGTGAAAAATATATGTCCCACAGCCTCGAAGTCTTGGAGGCTCAGATATTCAATGGCAGGTTCACTTGGGCCTAAATGGACTTCGGTCGATCCACCCTTTCCATTTCCCTCCGCTGGACAATCCTTTACAAGATGATCGGTACTATCACATTCATGGCACTTCAAGATATGGCCGTCTCTACCTCGCGGGTTTCCCCGCCTGCCCTTACCTTTGCCTGAGGTTTCCCTACATCCTTTACAACAGCCTTTTCCCCCGAAAAATATTTCATCATACTGATCATCTGAAAGCCTCTGGAGGAAAGCCGTGATGCCTCGTCCGTTCAACCTTCGGCGACCCCGTTTGCCTTTACCTTTTCCTTTGCATATCCTCCGTATCCTCCTCCTAACACGACGCACTGGTTTTCGTGTAAACCTCCCCCACCTACGCTTTGCTTGTTGTAACAACCAGAACAGATGCTCGGCACGCGGATTACCACCTTCATAATATCTGACCAGTCTAGTGGTTCGATGCCGTCTGATGATAGTATCGTGTCAGAGTCGGTGCCGGAGCCGAAGTCGTCGTTACCCATGTAGGTGGATACACCGTCGTGTAGGGGATTTGCTTCACCCCATAGGGAGCGGTGAGGTTGAGGTTGTCTAGGAGGAGGGCTGGTTGCCCAGCTTGGTTGTGATCGATCCCCTGCTAGTAGGGCAGTAGATTCTCCAGGGTCGTCGGCCCATATGTTTGAGCGCCCGTTGCCAGGCTGAGCTTCAGTGGTTAAGGTAGTATAGACATTTCCACTGCCAGTTCCCCTTCCCCTTCCAAACACTGATCCTATGTTGCCAGGAGACCGTTCTGACAGATGGCCTATCGAGCGCATCCTCTCACACAGATCTTCATGCGGTTGTTGTGCTCGGGGCATTTGATGGTTGAGTGGCTGTAAGAGTTGCATGGCTCGCTGGCTGCCAACGCCTAGGGCGCGGAACAGGATAGCAGTTGGGAAGGTCAACGCCCACCGGCTGTGCCTCAAGACGGGCCATTTCGAACCGAGTAAGGGTTACGTCGATTCGTTCTCCGTGAGGCACATGAAAGTCGATGAGCTGAGTGCCTGAAGTGAGCTGCCGCTCATCTTCCAGGCGTTCGAACTTCATGCTTATGAGGAACATAATAAAGGTTACTGGGTCGGTGTGGACACCATCGATGTCCGCACCGTAGTTTATGGTGTCAGGTGGTACCCTCATGGCGAGTGTCCTCGCTAGGCCGCCCAGGCCGCGTTGTATGGCGGCTGCTTGGGCTTGTGGCGTCATGCGTCCACTCGTGACGTTAAGCCACGCGTTGACCTCGTAAACGTACTCGCGAAAGGGTACGTTGCCTTGAGGGCCCCAGTATGGGCCATGTGTTTGCCCATCTGTGCGATTGTCTCCTCGACGCATGTGTCCGATTGCCGCCCCCAGCGCAAACCATATGATGGCGCAGGCGCGTTACCGCGCTGGGGTAGGGCTTGTAGCGCCTTGTCAAGTCTACGAGGCGCTTTCTCTTGCGGGTCTCCCAGCCTACACTTCAATTGCTGCGCTTTTGGCTCGTTGCCGAGCGGTTGGTAGTAGCGTAGTGATGAAGCGTATATGGTACCAATGTTGTTGTCTAGACGTCGTGCCTCTCGTGTTGCTTCTTGCTCTTGTATTGATCCTCGTGAATGTCGGTGGAGTGGTGGCGCAGGGTAGAGATTGGTCACGAGGATCGTGCCGGGTAGCATGAGGATAAGAAGAGCAAGAGCTGACCACACGAGAGTGCGGCCAGCTCCGCTACCAAGTCTGAAATGACTCTGGCGGGTCATATAGCATCCAATTCCATGTCGAAGAAATACGATATGGGGAGTGGATGGATAGGATAGGATAATATCGATGTAGTGATCTTTCCAGCACATAGCGAACACTAGGGTAAGTGTCCGGGCAAATAGGGCGCGCGTGCCTTGGGCCAAAAGACAGCGGCGCGCAGGCTACACTCCCGATCCTCTATAACATCTCCCAAAGAGCTACCCTTAAAATGCATCCACTCGGATCGTCGGCGGCCCGGCAGCCCCGTTACCAAGTGAGACATGCAAGCCCATGCATCTCGAATGCGACGAGGCATGGAATTGGAGCGAGCGATCTAGAACACAGGACAACTAGTTTCCCCTTCGGAGGGCGCGAAAGACGAGGCAGGATACCTCGACGGACGTAGTCACGACTCGTATCAGCAGTGCACCGGGAAACAAACAACCTCGACCATCGAAGTTAGGAAGGCGCCCGAAGTAGATTAGGATCAGGGCAGCCAAGGATTAGAAACACAATGACAATAGAAATCATCCGCGCACCTATAATAAAAAGAATAAGGATCGGAAGACGAAGAAGACGAATAATAATAAGAACAATGAAACGAAACATAATAATTATAAGCAGACATTAGCGGCACACACACAATATTTCGGCGTTCCGAGCGGCTTTCTGGGATCCGCGCCGGACCCCCCTCCCTGGCGCGCGGAGCACGCCAGGGGCGGCGCCTCCGACGCCGCCCCTTGAGATCCGCGCAGAGCGCGAAAAAGTTTGTGTTTATGGCGTTTCCTCTTCTTCGAATTAGGATGTGGGTATCCAACAATACTCATCGTTCGGAAGAAATAAGCAAAAACCTGAAGTAGGAAGGCGTTGAAAGTAGATTGGGTGTCCGCCCGCCTCCGAAAAGAGGGCGGAAAAGGTGACGCCACTCGATCATGGAAGTAGGAAGGCGCTTAAAGTAGATTCGAACTTTGGACTCCAAAAATACCGACAGTGGGGGCCCGGCCACAAGAAACCTTCCACGAGAAACCCAACCCTGAGACCCTAGGACGTCCATCTAGCTTTGGCGCGGGGACATCACGCTTCCCATCGCAAAACCATCAAAACCTGAGAAACCCGGGGCACCCTGGAGGCAGGCAGGGTGCTTCTTGGCCTTGGCCCCCACTGTACCTTCAACCGCCGATGTTTGGAGTCCCGAAACGGTGCGGTGACAGACCGTGCGGTGACCCCCGAACCCCAAGAGACCTCACCGCACGGTCCGTCACCGCACGGTCTTGGGGACCCTGGAGGCCCCTGTCGCCCGAGACGTGCTCGGAGAGGGACTCGAGCCCCAGAACCGTGCGGTGACCCCGAATCCCCACCGACTCACCGCACGGTGCGGTCACCACCCCGTTTTTGTTTTGGACGCCCGAAATGGGTACGGAAAGAAGGGGTACCATGCCCAACAGCACATGTCGCCCCGAACCAACAGCGGCCGCGGTTGGGCCGGCGGCCTCCTGGCTCCAATGGACACAGGCCGCGGCGGCGCGGACAGCGAGTCCTGTTCAGAATGAACAGGAACTGCTGCTGGGCATTGCACCCATTCTTTCCGTGCCCGTTCCGTTCATGCAGAGTTTGTCGACTACACGCAAGAGTGACCCTGGGTAAGAGTAATCTTTGGTGCGCGGCATGTAGGGGGGCGCGGGGGGAGCCAAACCCAAGCGCGCAAGCCGCTTATATCGCAGCGCGTTCGGCGATTGGGGGACCCATTTGGGCCCGCACCAATGGTCACTCCGGCGAAAGGTCGCTCTTACGTCTAGCCGAGTTTGGGGGCCCCCGACCGATGGGCGCCTGCCTCCCTCGACCAGCGCGCCGCGCTGGCGGGCAGGCTGCCCCCCCCCTCCGAGAGCTGCGCATGGCGAGGCGGCCACCCCGGGCCGGCCAGCGGCCGTCTGGCGGCGCCCGCCGCTCTTGCCCGGGGGCGTCGACGAGGGGGGGGCGGAGAACTGGCGGCGAGCGAGGGGGGGAAGTTCGAGCTTCGAGGGTTCGAGCTTCGAGGTCCTAGGTTTGCGGGCGCTTTCTTCGTCTCTTGGCGGTGCCGCCGGCGGTGTTCCAGCTGCGGGATGCTTGCCAGCGGCTGCGCCTCGCCGCAGGCGTTTTGGGGGTGTTTGGATTGTTTTGAACGCTTGTGGAAGACTTGAATTACGACCCGAAAACCTAATTCGGCGGCGAGCGAGGGGGGGAAGTGAGAAGGAGAAGGCCTTCTAAGAAGGCGGCGGGGCTTCTCAGAAGCCGCCGCGCCTTCTGAGAAATGCGTTTTTGTCTGCGGGGAAAGCGTCGAACACTTCTCAGAAGGCCGGGGGAACTCCGAACCTTCTGAGAAGCCCTTCTCCTTCTCACTTCCCCCCTGGATCGGTACCGAGAGAAGGGGCTGAGCTACTTATTGTTTTCGGCAAGACCAAGACAACAAAAGCAACAACAACTGCATAAACCTACATTTGTGGCGCTCCGCGCGGACTTCTTGGATCCGCGCTGGGCTTGTGGCATTGTCTCTTCTTCTGCGAGGCAAGGCGGAGGGCGGGCGGGGGCGAGCAGAAAAAATGAGCAAGAGCGCGTTTCTTCCTTCTCGTGGTGGGGGGCTGCATGGCGGGGCGGGCAGGCAGGCCGAGGAGGCGGAGCCTTGAGCTCGGCCACGCGCCGGAGGCGTCGAGGGAGGGGGTGGCGGAGAGGGCAGACCCGTGCGCACCCCGGGGAGTCAGAGACGTGGCCGCCCCGGTGCGCAACACGCAACCCTTCAGTGGGGCACGTCCCTCCACACGAGGAAGGTTCAAAAATCATCAAAAAAATAGTCAGGGACGATTGTTCGACAATGTCCTCCTCCTCCTCCTCCTCCTCCTCCTCCTCCTCCTCCTCCTCCTCCTCCGCCTCCTACCCCCCCCCCCCCGCTCGTTTTCATCTTCGTCGTCTTCAGGGTCGGCGGCACCGGCCGTCAGGCCTTCGCAATAATCAAAAAAATAGTCAGGTGACGATTGTTCGACACTGTTTGTCAATGTTTGAACATGTTTTGCCGATGTTTGATTTCTCATCCCAGATCCGCCCGTAGGGGGGAATGCCTCACACAACGCAACCCGTAGCGTGTTGACCCGGAGCTCAACACGCGGACCGAAACCGTACATTCGGGGCGTTGACCTAAGGAACCCAAAATAAGGAACGAGGCCCCTTGCTCCCATAAGTTAAATTTTGATTTCCCATGGAAAACGAAAGGAAAACCCAAGGCAAACTGTACAACAATCAAGGAACACCGAGCCCCTCCCCAACGAAACGAGTTTCTTCTTCAGCGCCCCGACTGTAGGTCTGGCGCGATGGGTTCGCCAAGACGTGGGCCAACACGCGCCGAACCAACACGCAGCGTGGTGGCACCGGCGTTTGGAGCACGGCACGTGCTGCGTTTCAAGGCGGGCGCATCAGGGCAGCTACAGTCGGGACGTTGACCTAAGGAACCCTAACTAAGGAACGAGGCCCCTTTTTCCCATCAGTTAAAGTTCGATTTACCATCGAAAACCTGAGGAAAACCTAGGGCAAGCTGTGAAACAATCAAGGAACACGGAGCCCCTTCCCAACGAAAAGGGTTCCTTCTTCAGCGCCCCGACTATACGGTCAGAAGTGTGGGATGGGCAGTGGGGGGAGGCGGCAGAGGAAAGCAGGATGGGCGAGCAGGGTCGTGCTGCTCTGGCGAGTTGTTCCCAGCGGTGACGGTCAATATTGTCTTGCGCTGGCGACTTGTCGCTCCCCTCGGCGGTGGACAAACCTCCCTTTAGTAGACCTCCCCTTAGTGAAAACGGCCTGGGACCGAAATCGACGGACCTTGGACCCGCAAAAATGACGGCCGCGACGCCCTCTCGCGAAACGAAAACGGCCAATTCCTTAGTCCACCCCCGATCCCCCTGTTCCCTGCTCTGACCCGCAAGAGCATACAATGGAACGCCCAGAACACAAACCCAAACCCCCCCTCTCCCGCTCTGGACAAGCCATGGCGGAAGCTGCCCGGCTGCTTTCGGCTCCCGGGGGCCCTCGCTGGGCTCCGGGGCCGTCAGAAAACAACTCAGGATGTGAACACATAGCTATTCACGCCAGGGCTTAGTGGGCCCTGGAAACGACAAGGCCTTTTTGTTACCAGTTCCGTTTTGCCGTTTTTGTTGCTGGTTTCGACGCCGTTTTTTACCGGTTCCGTCGCCGTTTTTTGACCGGTTCCGGCTCCGGTTCCAGTCCTGGAGCCGTTTGTTTACCGTTTCTGGTCGCCGTTTTTTTGCCGTTTTCATTTTCAAGGGACACTTTTTTGGAAATGGTGAAAAAAACGGCCCTGCCGTTTCCGGGGCCCACAAAGCGCCAGGGCCTGAGAACCCAAGTCTCCGACGATCGGAGGTTGGGGGGGGAGATCGCAGCGGAACGCAGGCCCCCAACCGGGAAAAATCGTTTCGTTTCGTTCGTGTCGTGCGTGCGGGCGAGGCGAAGCTGCGTGGGCGCGCGAGAAGGATCCCGCCGTTGCTAAGGCGGAATGAAGACGCATGATTCTCCCACTCCCGCCCATCCGGCGGTGGCTAGCGGTGTCCCGTGATGTCCCTAAGTGTCCCGTGGTGTCCGCCGTTGCTAGGGCGAAGTCAAAACAAATGGTTCTCCCCCTCCCGTCCGTCCGGCGGTGGCTCGCAATGTCCCGCAGTGTCCCGTGGTGTCCCGCGGTGTCCCGCGGTGTCCTGTGGTGTCCCGTGGTCTCCCGTTGAGTGAGATCGATCGTGAGATCGATAGTGAGATCGATATGGTGCCCCGAGGTGTCCCGTTGTGCCAACAAATGAAATCGATAGTGAGATCGACAGGTGTCCCGTGGAGTCCCGTGGTGTCCCGTTGAATGAGATCGACAGTGGGATCGATAGTGAGATCGATGTGGTGTCCCGAGGTGTCCCGTGGTGTCCCGTTGAGTGGGATCGATCGTGAGATCGATTGTGAGACCGATAGTGAGATCGAGAGGTGTCCCGCGGTGTCCCGTGGTGTCCCGTTGAGTGAAATCGATCGTGAGATCGATAGTGAGATCGACAAGTGTCCCGTGGTGTCCCGTGGTGTCCCGTGGTGTCCCGTGGTGTCCCGTTGAGAGAGATCAATAGAGAGATCGATTGAGTAAGATGTTGGTTCCCCCCCCTCTCCCTCCCCCCCATAACCTCCTTATCACCCGAAGGGTGGTCGTATAGGTTATGTTGTTGTTCAACCCAGGCGTTTCTCCTCGATTTCGGCCTCTGAGTCCTGTCGCCGCGCCCAGAGGCCATCAAAAGTGGATCCTGGATGAAGAACTGACCCTGGGGAAAGAGTCAGGATCTCTGTGCCGCGCGTTGGGGAAACTCATGTCGTCGGATGTCTCTGATCGCGTTTCTGTGTTGAGGAGTGTGGGCCCGCGAAGGTCTGAGCTGTTCCCCGGGGCGTATGATCACCCCGAGCCTGTCCTTTGATCGTCCCAGGGCCTGGTGGGAGACCGGAGATGGCCCACCACCTTCCGTCGTGCTTCGGGTCGCACCGCGATGCGGGCCTGGGATTTGGTCGGGAACGTCCTCCTGCAGGCGGGTCTTGGAAGGCAAATGTAGACAAGAAAAATAATGCAAGAACGTAGTTGAAAATAATGTAAACAATAGCAGACATGTAAAAACATTAGCCTGGCGAAAGACCCAACCATATGCAGTTGTGAATGCCGCAATTGTGCTGGGTGGTGGCGGACGCATGCGGGCGGTGCCACTGGGACCTTCGGTGGAGCTCCCTATGGGGCCACGAAGCGCTGTACTGGGTGGGTGAGACGCGGTCAGCAAGGGCTGTGCTGCGTGGTGGCGGACGCATGCGAGCTGTGCCACTGGGACCTTCGGTGGAGCTCCCTATGGGGCCACGAAACGCTGTACTGGGTGGGGAAACGCAGGCAGGGAGCAAGGGCTGTGCAGGGTGGTGGCGGGCGCATGCGGGCGGTGCCGCTGGGACCATTGGTGGAGCTCCCTGTAGGGCTACGAAGCGCTGTTCTGGGTGGGTGAAGCGCAGGGAACAAGGGCTGTGCTGGGTGGTGGCGGACGCAAGCGGGCAGTGCCACTGGGACCTTTGGTGGAGCCCCCTATGGGGCCACGAAACGTGCGAGGGGTGTGCCAGAATGGGGTGTGGAACCGCATGCCAGCGCAGCCACTGGGGCCTTCGGTGGAGCTCCCTATGGAGCCACGAAGCGTGTGAGGGGTGTGCCGAAATGGGGGGTGGAACCGCATGCGAGCGCAGCCACTGCGGCGTTCGGTGGAGCTCCCTATGGGGCCACGAGACGTGTGAAGGGCGTGCCGAGAAAAGGGGGGTGGAACCGCATGCGAGCGCAGCCACTGGGGCCTTCGGTGGAGCTCTCTATGGGGCCACGAACCGTGTGAGGGGTGTGCCGAAATGGGGGGGGAAACCACATGCGAGCGCAGCCACTGGGGCGTTCGGTGGAGCTCCCCATGGAGCCACCCACGAAGCGTGTGAGGGGTGTGCCGAAATGGGGGGTGGAACCGCATGCGAGCGCAGCCACTGGAGCGTTCGGTGGAGCTCCCTATGGGGCCACGAAACGTGTGAGGGGTGTGCCAGAATGGGGGGTGGAACCGCATGCGGGCGCAGCCACTGGGGCCTTCGGTGGAGCTCCCTACGGGGCCACGAAAAGTGTGAGGGGTGTGCCACCTCATGCGAGCGCAGCCACTGGGGCCTTCGGTGCTCCCTATGGGGTGTGCCCAGAATTGGGGGTGGAACCGCATGCGGCGCAGCCACTGGGGCCTTCGGTGGAGCTCCCTATGGTGTGAGGGGTGTGCCTGGAACCGCATGCGGCAGCTGGGGCCTTCGGTGGAGCTCCCTATGGGCCACGAAACGTGTGAGGGGTGTGCCAGAATGGGGGGTGGAACCGCATGCGGGCGCAGCCACTGGGGCCTTCGGTGGAGCTCCCTATGGGGCCACGAAACGTGTGAGGGGTGTGCCAGAATGGGGGGTGGAACCGCATGCGAGCGCAGCCACTGGGGCCTTCGGTGGAGCTCCCTATGGGGCCACGAAACGTGTGAGGGGTGTGCCAGAATGGGGGGTGAACCGCATGCGAGCGCAGCCACTGGGGCCTTCGGTGGAGCTCCCTGTGGAGCCACGAAGCGTGTGAGGGGTGTGCCGAAATGGGGGGTGGAACCGCATGCGAGCGCAGCCACTGGGGCCTCCGGTGGAGCTCCCTATGGGACCACGAAACGTGTCAGGGGTGTGCCAGAATGGGGGGTGGAACCGCATGCGAGCGCAGCCACTGGGGCCTTCGGTGGAGCTCCTTATGGGGCCACGAAACGTGTGAGGGGTGTGCCAGAATGGGTGTGGGAGGGGGAGGAGGGGGGAGGAGGGAGGGAGGAAGGAGGCGGGAACGCGGGGCACCGTTCTTTCAAAACGAGGACCCAACACACCAGGATGGTTGGGAAAAAGGAAACAGAAAAAGAAGGTGGAAACAATGCACCCAGACCTATATGTGAAAATTCTGGACGATTCCTCCTGTAGAGGGACATGCCCGACTGACGTCCGGGAAGGGGAGGGTGTCTGCACCGTGGCCCAAGGCGCGCGCGCGGCCGAGGGGAGGGCCACGGGGCAAGCTGGGAGCGGAGGCGCCACGCGGCCCAGGGACACACCAGTAGACAGACACGAATCCCAAGATCCCCAACTTCCCGTATGTTCCTATGCTTTCCTCTTCGTGACTTGCACTTCCGAAGAAGAAGACGTCCTGTACTCTTCGTGACTTTCCTCTTCCTGACTTGTACTTCCTATGCTTTCCTCTTCGTTTCTTGACTTCCTCTTCTTCGACTGAATCCCAACTCACACACATGTTCTTGACTTTCGTCTTCCCCCCAACCTCCCATATGTTCCTATGCTTTCCTGGGGATCGGCGACTCTCTCTCTCTCTCGCTACCTGTGTGTGTTTGCCACCTCCTGAGAGATTGGTGGGGAGATTTCGCGGCTTCGGCCATCATGTCCTCTTCCGAGAATCACGCTATCCCTGAGGGATGCTCCCCCCGTGGGAGCCACACCGCACGCTACCTTTCCAACGCCCAGCGTACGCGCACCCCCTGCCCCTCGCCTCCCGGGACGCCCGGTGGCTCTGGGCCCACAGCTCGGGCCTCCAACGGACGTTCGGGACGATCTGGGGCTCCGCCCCCCCCCCCCGGAATGTTTTCGACGAGACGCAGCGGCTGGAGAGCACCCCGAGGCGAGACGACCTCCAAGAGCCAGCGACCACCTTCCTCCAGGATCGGGGTCCACCAAAAGGGGGGGACCCCGAGGGGGGTCACAAAGCCGATCCGCTGGTGCACCGAACTGCTGTGAACAGATGCCCCCCGCATGCCCCACCTATTGGCAAGCATCGGAAGCTGCCTGCGGCTGGGGGGGGGCATCTGTCTTGGGCGGTTCGGTGCGAAATTCGATCGAACTCACATCCTCCTGGGGCTCCTTCCGCCCCCTTGAGGGATCCCGACAAGAGTCCCTGTATACCGAGGCGGCTCGGGCAAATCTACGTTCGCCACTTGCTCTGGCAAGCCGCAGTCGTGGGCTTGCCCCCGCCGGTCTGCCCTGGCCCGTCGCAACGATGACAGCGGGCCCTGACGCTGTTCAGCGAGATGGCGCGAGGCGGGGTTGTTGTAGTTGTAGGTGACAGACTGCCACTGGCCTGGACACCCTCGGCCAGAGGCCGGAAAAAATAGTGGAGAGTGGGGAAGAAACCGGCCAAGAGAGGTGCAAGGCCACTCCCGGCCGGAGCCAAAAACGATGGGACGACCCCCGGCAGCACCTAAAACACCAACTCCACCTCAACCTAAACAGCTCCAACCGGCGCGAGGCAAGATTAGCGCGTGATGCCCCCCCTTCCTCTTGGGCGCCCCCGATCTGGCACCAGCACGTCGAGCACCAGGAGGTCCTCGGCGGCACCGCCGCCTGGGGCCTGGGATAGGGCTCGATGTACACACCACGCCGTTTTGTCGGCCAAGGAACTCGGTGCACAGACACCTCAGCTGTCCAACCTGTTGGACGCTGCAGCGTCTATACACAGAATATATTTGCCCACCCTGAGATCCGATGTTGCGAAGATGTAACAAAATACGGAAAAATCACGACCAGAGCCCTAACACCCATCTTTCTGCTGCATTGTTCTAGCCGGGTCAATCCGTCAGGGTTCAGGGGCCCGAAGCATGGCAAAACCGCCCGCCAGGATCTCAAGTTGCCTCTTGGCTCAAGAGGAGGGAGGAGGAGGAGGAGGAGGAGGAGGAGGAGGAGGAGGAGGAGGAGGAGGAGAACAGGAGTGAGAGGAGGAGGAAGAGGAGGAGGAGGAGGACGAGGAGGGGGAGGATGAGGAGGAGAAGAAGGATGAGGAGGAGGGCCATTCTGGCTTCTGCGGGGGGCAGCGCTCCCCACCACCCGTGGAAGGGGGGCTGGCCCGAGCGCGCCGCCGCCATTGGCGACGCGCGCGCGCAACGTGTACAGTAACAACAACCACCACCACCACAACAGCAACAACAACAAACATCACCAGAAGGTGATCATCCGGGAGAGAGTAATCGTCGGGGAAAGGAAGATCGTCCACCAACTGACCAATTTCAAGCTGGACATCCACAACACCAGCTGCGAGAAATACCCACTTCCGTGGAGACTACCAGCAAGATGCCTAGACTATATTCGCACAGAGCAGTGCGAACATATGCAATTCTCCAAAGAACTGGCTATCTCATCCGACACGGGCTACAACCACACCTCATCGACATCATGACCGGCGTCCTCTACAGGACGGGATGAGCTGCGTAACATGCAGCGTGAGGGAGAGCTGCGTAACAAGCAGCCCAGGGAAGAGCTGCGTAACAGGCAACCTAAGTACGACACCAAGTACGCCACCAAGACCGACACTAGGAAGAGCACAACCGAACAGACCGAAAGGGTTACTGAGTACGTCGTCGTGGAGGTACCCGTGGACAACGGCTGTGCCGCCTACGGCGAGTACGACTAAGGCGGCGCCGCCTACGACGAGTACTACTACGACGGTATGTTCGATATCGACCCTACGACCCCCAGGGCTACGACGGACCGCAGGGCTACGACAACCATTCAAACTACAGGGAGGCCCAGAACGTAGTACACTACGACTTGACAGCCGACGACTCCGCCTCGGACCCAGGGACTACGAAGAGAGCGTGCCTTCTGAACTGCTGCAGCCACCAGCGGAGCTTCCAGGGCCACCAGACGACCTTCGGGGACCACAAGGCTAACTACGAGGACCACACACACAGCTACGATGGCCACCCGAAGAGCTTCAAGTCCCACGCGACGAGCTGCGAGACCCGCCAGCAGAGCCACGAGAGCCACAAGCTGAGCTACAAGGACCGCGAGCTGAGCTAGGAGACGCAGGGCTACGAGAGCCACCAGCTGAACAACGAGAGCTACAAGCTGTGCCACGAGGACCGCGAGCTGAGCGACGAGAGCCACAACCAAAGCTACAAGAGCCACAACCAAACATACTGCAGGACCCACCTGCCGCGCTGCGAGAGCCACCTGCCAAGCCACAAGAACCACAAACTGAGCAACGAGGACCGCAAGCTGAGCCACGGTAGCCACGAGCAGTACTACAAGAACCACAAACTGAACCACGAGGGTCGCCTGATGAAGTACAGGAAGCAACAGCTGTGGCACGAGGACCACAGGCACAGCCAAGAGATCTACGAGGCCACCTGCAAAGCTGCCAAGCTCCCCGGGCCACAGCTGGGGCTACGCGGACCACAGGAAGACCTAGACGACCCTCCTGCGGAGCGACTGAGGCGACGAGCTGAACGGCAAGGGCCTGAAGCAGGACTCCGAGACCCACCAGCTGAACTACGAGGGCCACAGACCGAGCTTCGAAGGCCACTACCTGAGCTACGTGGGCTGCAAGCGGAACTATGAAAGCCTCCCGCAGAGCTACCAGGGCGGCGAGCTGAACTTCAAGGACCACCTGCTGAGCAAGGACCGCCACCAGCTGAGCTACGAGGACTGAGCTACCGAGACCACGCGCTGAGCTACCAGGGCCACAGGCAGGGCTTCGAGCATCACAGGCAGGGCTCCGAGGACCGCCAGCTGAGCTGCGAGAGCTACATGGGCCATCTGCTCGTCTGCCAGGGCCACGACCGACGCCACGCGGACTGCACGAAGAAGCACGGGACCCTCCTGCAGAACTGCTCGGGCGACGAGCCGAATCAGCAGGGCCCGGAAGCAGAACTCCGAGAGCCACCGGCTGAGCTACAGGGGCCACCTGCAGAGCCACGAGGGCCACAGCGAGAGGCACCGCCAGAGCCGCGAGGCCTGCGAGCCGAGCCACGAGGGCCACGCGCACAGCCACGAGACCTACGAGGGCCGCCCGCGGAGTTTCCAGGGCCACAGCCAGGAGCTACGCGGACCAGGCGGACCTGCCAGAGCCTCCTGCGGAGCGACTGGGGCGTGCTTTGCAAGGACTTCAAGCGGACTTCGGAGACCCACCAGCTGAGCTACAAGGGCCAGGGCTTCAGCTGGAGCTGCGGGGGCTACAACTTGAGCGACGCAGACTGCGAGCAGAACTACGCGAGCCTCCCGCAGAACTACCAGGGCGACGAGCTGCGCCACCTGCTAAGCAAGGGCGGCCACCAGCAGAGCTAAAATGACCGCCTGCCGAGCTACCAGGACCACCCGCTGAGCTACGAAGGCAACGAGCAGGGCTACGAGGACCACAACCTGAGCTGCGGGAAATACTGGCAGAGCTGCCCATGCCACCTCCTGAACTACCAGAGTCTTCACGGACCTACGAGTGCCACCAGCTCAACTACTAGGACCACGGGCACAACTCTCGGAGGGCCACGAGCAGGGCCACGAGGGCCTCCAGCTGAGCTCCGCCCAGGCGTGGCCGTGCGCCTCGTCGGCATCAGAGCTCGCTCGCTACTCGACGGGCGGGAGGGTACGCGCGAGCCCTGCGATGAGGCAGCAGACCGCTGGGTATCCAAGGCAGGCTCGGAGCACACCCAGGTCAGGACAGCCTGCTGAGAGCCCGAAGGTCTCACAACCAAACGGGCGCTCGGGCCTGCGTTCCAACAGGCGGCTCACAGGTGCAGCTGCCAGGAGCAGCGAATCGTCCGACACTCGCAATCGCGGCGCGCCGTTCCAGGCCGAGGCTCGCTCCGCGTGGAGTGAGGCCGGGATCGAGAGCCGCGGCGATGCTGACATCGGCGCTGCGCATATGGACCCTCCATGAAACACGAACGCCACCTGCCAGCGAGGTGCACCACGCAGACCTGGAGCCACTCGAGGGCCAAGCTGCAATAGGCGAGCCAACACGTGAAACCTTGGCTCGTGCAGAAACCAGCGGCAGTGTGGGCGTGCTGTCGCAGGAAGGGGGTTCAAAAGTTCCGCCTCGAAGCCAAGGTGCTCGAGCGTGACGATCGAGGCTTCTGGGGGGGATCCTGCGGGGGAGTCGCCATGGTGTTCCAAAACACGTGCGACCCGGCAGCCGGCCAAGGGCAGCCAGCCGTAGCCGCTTACTTCGAGCTCATCCTCGGCGTCGAAGCGTCCCACGACATGGCCTGCAACCAAATTGCACCAGAAAACACAAAGCGAGACCGGCCTGCCCGAAGCCGGAGAAGACCACGAACTACCGCGCCACGGACAAGGTGTACACGGTGTACAGATACGGACACTACCGCAGCAGGGCGCTGCGCCAACTTCAGTTCGGAGTGCTGTGCCGCACCATCAGCTGAGCGGCCCGGCCGCTCCTCCCCTCCCTCCCCTCCCTTGGTGGGCCTCCAGCGATCTCAGGATCAATGTTGGTTTTCCTCCCTCTCGGGGATGGACAGACCGTCTCCATCGATATCAGGATTAATGTTGGTTTTCCTCCATCTCGGGGATGGGCGGACCCCCCTTTAGAAACACGTGGTTAGTGCATACGACCTCGGACCCAAACCTGGCGGGCGCAAGACTGGCGAATGATGGCCGCGGCGCCCTCTCGAGAGCCGAAGACTGACAATTCACTAGTCGACGTGTCAAGGTGGGGGTTCTGTCCACCCCCGACCCTTCCCCCATCTGGTACGGGTCCAAGCTCCGGCGTTGGTGCGGAAATTCCGCGGGCTGCGTGCGGGCCTGCGGAGTCAGGGGAACGCCCGACGGCGCTGCGCACCAGCAGGATGGATGGATGGATGGATGGATGGATGGATGGATGGATGGATGGATGGAATGCCCATTCGGGGAAAGTGCACAGCACTAAATGCTAAACTCAGGCTCACATTGCTGGCCTCGAGCTGAGGCCTCCTGAATACGAGGAGGAGCAGGAAGAGGAGGAGAAGGAGGAAGGGGACTGTTTTTGGACTGCAGCAGGCTTGTGCCCATATCATACCACATGTTCGAAATGAAACGAGCTCGCAGGCGTCTGCCTGCCTAAAACCGCGCTGCTCACTTGTGCGCAACTTGCCTACTGGGACCATGGGGACTACGCAGATCACCAGCAACAGCAGTTAGGAGGAAGGAGTGAGAGAGAAGAGTGATGCGAATGAAAGGAGAGAGGTGGGATGTCATGGCATGGAAAGAAGGCTTCCTGCGAGAGCCTGAGCTGCTGGTCGTGGTAACCCCTGCAAGAACATGTTAGCTGCCGAGGCCAAAAACGGTCCCCCAACAAGTGGGGGAGGAGGGAGGAGGGAGGGAGGGAGGGAGGGAGGGCAGGGAGGAAGAAGGCGGAGGAGGATGACGAGGATGTGGCGGAGGGGGGGATGAGCACGAGGAGGGAGGAGAGGAGGAGGAGGTGAGGAGGAGGAGGAGGAGGAGGAGGAGGAGGAAGGAGGCGGAGAAGAAGAGGAGGAGGAGGAGGAGGAGGAGAGGAGGAGGAGGGAGGAGGGAGGAGGTAGGAGGTAGGTAGGAGGAGGAGGAGGAGGAGGGAGGAGGAAGGAGGAGGAGGAGGAGGAGGAGGAGGAGGAGGAGGGAGGAGAGGGAGGAGGAGGGAGGAGGAGGAGGAGAGGAGGGAGGAGGAGAGAGGAGGAGAGGAGGAGGGAGAGGAGAGAGGAGGAGGGAGGAGGAGAGAGGAGGGAGGGAGGAGGAGGAGGAGGAGGAGGAGGAGGGAGGAGGAGGGAGGAGGAGGAGGAGGAGGTAGGAGGTAGGAGGTAGGAGAGGAGGAGGAGGGAGGAGGAGGAGGAGGAGGAGGAGGAGGAGGAGGAGGTAGGAGGAGGAGGAGGAGGAGGAGGGAGGAGGAGAGAGGAGGAGGGAGGAGGAGGGAGGAGGGAGGAGGAGGGAGGAGGGAGGAGGAGGAGGCCCACGTCACGTCGGTCTGCAGCACGCACGGGAGCAGCGCCGTGGCGCGGCCGTGGGCCTCCAGCAGGCGGGCGTCGAGCTCGCCCGCTGCGCTGGCCGCCTCCAGGAGCCCTGGGCAGCGAGCGGGGTCCTCGGGCTACACCCTGCGAAATGCTTAAGAAATCATGGGTTAAGAAATTCAGAGTCTGAGAACTTAAAGAAAAAACCAAACATTTCTACTAAAATCTTAAGATTTACATCGAAACGTTAAGAATAATCGAGACTCTGGCCGAAAACTTGAGTTTTCTTAAGCATCGCCTAAGGTGTATGATGTTCCAACCGGCTGTAGCCTTAAGCCGTGCGTGTCCCCCCTACAGGGGGGATTTTTTGGGGGATAAGCGGAGCATTCTCACTAACCTACCCCCCTAAGTGGGCAAAACTACTGATAATAAAAGCAATAATAATGACAATCATCATCATCATTATCATCATCATCATCATCATCATCATCATCAGCATCAGCATCAGCATCAGCATCATCAGCATCATCATCATCATCATCAGCATCATCATCATCATCATCAACACCAGCATCATCAGCATCAGCATCAGCATCAACATCAACATCAGCATCAGCATCAACATCGTCATCCCCAGACTATTTTTGATTAGTTTTGAATATAAGCCTTCATCACCGGAAACAATTTCGAGCACCCAGAGAATGCCGAAACTGGAGGGGTTTCACGTGTCGGGCCCTGGGAGGCGATACTCATTCGACACTGTTTCGATACTTCGCTGGGTGCTCGGAATTATTTCTGGCATGTGGTCCTGAAGTGCGACGGGCTCAACATAATCCTCGGTGGGCGAAGCCGGCTGGACTACCCCGAGGGAGGTGGCCCTCCGAGGATCAGGGATACGTAAGACTCGGGTACCGGGGACTCGAGTTGGCCTGACGGGGCCGTCATGACAATGACGAGGCCCAATCTGGAACTTGACGCGAGCTCCCGCTACAAACATCCCACGAGAACTAGACCGTCTCAATCCAGGACGCGCTCGGCAAACCGCGTCGGCAAACCCGAGCTCCGGCTCGCTCGAGTCCTACGTTTCCCCGAGAGGCGGTATCACAAGCTCCGAGGGCCGAGCCGGCTTTCGGGCGCTGCCGCTGTGGTGCTCTCCGCGGTTTCTGCCAGCCTCGGGGTGCCGTGCGGCAGCTGGGCGCTTCGCCGCGGAGAGCGTTCCCCGGGCAGGGGCGGGCGGCGGGCAGGGCCCTGGCCAGGAGGGCGCCGACTGGGGCGAGGAGCTCGTGCGCAGCGTGCCCAGGTACGCCGACTCTTTATTTTTTGTCGGGACTTGTTGTTGTTGTTGTTGCTGTTGTTGTTGTTGTTGTTATTGTTGTTGTTGTTGTTGTTGTTGTTGTTCTTGTTATTGTTGTTGTTGTTGTTGTTGTTGTTGTTGTTGTTGTTGTGTTTGTTGGTGTTGTTGTTTTTGGTGTTGCTGTTGTTGTTGGTGTTGGTGTTGTTGTTGTTGGTGTTGTTTTTATTTGTGTTGTTGTTGGTGTTGTTGTTGGTGTTGTTGTTGAACCCTCGCTACAGAATAACACATCTGGGTGATCCCCCCCTCCGGTGACCAGTGTGTCTTTTCAATTGAAATACTTCTCCCGGGGCTCGAAGACTGTTTTTTTATCCGGGAAGGTGGCGGGGCTCAAGCTGGGCCCCTGGACCCTAGTTTACAACAACAGCGGTTCCCACCTGACACTTCCTCACATGTTATTTCCAAATCGCGCCTCGCGCGGGACTTCCTCACAGTTCATGTACGCATCGCGCTTTCGCGTGGGAATTCCTCGCAATTGAAGCGCCCTCGGCGTTCAAGAATCACGCTCTCGCTTTGGCTTTCCTCACGATTTACTTGGGAATCGCGCTGTCGCTCAAAACTTCCTCGCGTTGCATGCAAGACCCACGCTTCAGCAACCCGCCTGCTCGACCTGGTCGCCTGGGCCCGCCTTCCCGACCTGCCCGCTATGCGTCTGCCCACCCGATCTGCCCTTCTGGTTCTACCACTTGTTTTCTGGTCATTGCCCCCCTCCTGCTAAATTCTCTCGTGCTCCGTGCTTCTCCCTTCCCCTTCCACCCGTCCTCCCTTCCCTTGTTTTAGGGGCTGCAGTACATGCACGTGGCAGGGAAGGAAGATAAACCCCCAAGGGGGTGCGATCGAAGACGACGAGGGCGGGTACCGAGGGTTTGGGATATATGGGTATTGATTGGCACGTGAGCAGATAGGAGCGAACAGTCTCACGATGATTGTTGTTGTTGTGGTCGTTGTAGTTGGTGTTGTTTTTTGCTGTTGTTGTTGCTGCTGCTACATAGCATTATGAGCAGGAAGAATGCTCGCGCGAGTCTTGCACGGAGGTCTTTTGCGGGGGACACTGTGCGCCTTGTGCGGGCTCTTGTTGACGTCTTTGATATTGAGTCCGTCCGCGCATGCGCATGCGGGAGAAGGAACAAGACGCGCAGAATAAGCACGATATGTTTAGGTCGGGCATGTCCTCCTACATAGGGTTTTGCGCGAACATTAAAACTTGCTCAAAGCATACCCCCCAAATGGGCAAACACTAATACAAATCAAACAACCGTCCCCGTACTACTTTGGACTAGTTTTGAATATTCCTCCTGTAGAGGGACATGCCCGACTTAAGTTGTGGATGCCGCGAACACCCGAAATGTCCTACCATTGAATGGAGCAAGGGTTTCAAAGTGGGACAGGTTTTCTAAACATGTGTTGAACATCTCCGTTACATGCTTAAAACATATTTCGAGCATGTTCAACACACGTTTGAGATATCTGCAAATCATTTGGCAAAGCGCTTCCTCTCCATTGGTCGTCCTCCACAAGAATTAGGCGTATGCAGGAGAAGGAAGAGGACGCGCAGAAGAAGCACGACAAACACGCACATCCTGCGCAAGATCCCGTGTGCGCCTTGTGCGCCGGCACTCTTCGCTCTCTGGCACTCCTGTGCCAAGAACAGCAGTACACGTCGCTCATCTCCAATCGTGCTCATTTCTAAGTGTGCTCGTTTCTAATTGTTCTTGGCCCCCTAGGGGCCAGCCAGAGGGCCAGGATAGAAGAATTAGAAATGAAAGGACCTTGGCCCCCTAGAAAATCAAAGATCTCTCGAATGAATAGACATGAATCATGCGTAACCCTTGGAATCCGCACCCGTGCCCTGCGGCACGAAGGGGATGCCCTCGAGTCCCTTCGAATTCTCCGTGCTAAATTCTGTGACATAAATTCCTTCCTGGGCCCGCAGCGCGGATTTCCGGGCGCTCCTGGGCGCTCGCGCTCGCTCTCCCAGGGGGTCTCCGCGTGCCCTCTCGAGAGGTCACGCGCGTGTTGTTCGGGACATGCATGTCCAACGTGGCTTCAGATGGCCACGGGGACCGCCATCGAGCCCTCTTGGGCGCCACTTGGGCCGTCTTGGAGGCCCTGGAGGGCGGCAAAATGGGCCAAACTCAATTGGTCTTTGAATGGTTTTCACGTGACCGCCTTGTCGGTCTTCAGGGCGCTCACGACGGCCTGGGAGGCGCCCAAGATCGCCCCTAGACGGCCCAGGAGCCCTCAAGAGGGGCTCAAGGGACCCCCAAGACTGTCCCAAGAAGGGTCCAAGACGGAGAACACGAGCTGACATTTTGGGCACTACACCCCAAGATGGCCCAAGATCCTTCCAGAAGCCCCCGAGGTGCGCCCAAGAGGCCCCAGGAAGCCCCCAAGAAGCCCAAGCCGCCTCCAGGAGGCATCCGAGAGGCCTGGCAAGAGACCTTCACAGGCATCCAGGAGGCCTCTGACCTACAACAGGCGCGGTGGCAGGATGGACCGAAGGCCACTCAACTAGATCTGGCGCCTCCTGGTGATTCATCACAGGGGTGCCTGGCGTGCAATACTTCTGATGAAACGCACCAGCCGGCCACCAGGAACATCTGGCATGCATCGGTTCTCCCCCTCAAGACGGCCCCACGATGGCCTCCGAGATGGGCCAAGATGCAAGATGGCCAAGATGGCCCAATATGGCCTCCAAGACGGTCTCAAGACGCCTCTAAGGCGGCCCAAACGGCCCAACATGCCCACCAGACAGCCAGAGAGCCCTCTCAGGCGCCCCAAGAGGGCTCCAAGAGGAGCTCCAGGAGGCCAACATCTCTGATGTTCCAAATGTGCTTGACAGATTCTAGGGTTCTCGCCTTTTCAAACATCCGACGCTCCAAGACGGCCCTATATGCCCCAACCATCGCCACAAGACGGCCCAAGAGGCCCCCAAGAGGCGCAACATGACAGCCGAGGACCCCAAGACAGCCCAAGAGGCCCCCAAGACAGCATCAGAAAACTCCAAGAAGGTCCTGAAACGCTCAAAGAAGGACCCACGACTGCCCAGAGAGAGCCCAAGATGGTCTCTGAATGCCAATAGGGCCCTTAAACGCCCCAAGAGGGTCCCAGGAGGACCTCCAGGAGGCCAACATCGTGGATGTTCCTCAGGTTTCGAACTGACTGTAGCGTTCTCGCCCTGTCGGGCTTCCCACGCTCCATGACGGGCCAATCGGTCACCAAGATCGCTGCACGACAGCCCAAGAGGCCCACAAGAGTCCCAACAGAAGGCCTTAAGGCAGCCCAAGGAGCCCCCCCAAGACGGCCCAGAGACCTCCATGACGGCCACAAAGCGGGCCCCAAGACGGCCTCCGAAGGCCAAGAGGTTCCATACAGGCCGCTGGGATGAGATCTACCCCTACGTGGTCCCACGAGGAACGCGGTCAGCACGTATTGCAGGAACAAGTACGACTGACAGCGGCTAAACGATCTCACAGGTCAGTGGGGTTCTCCATTGACCACCTGGGCGCGGGGGGCTCGCGGTACAGGGGGCCCCTCGTGCCTTGGCATTTTGCCTAAACAATCTCACCTGTCCACCGTGCCCACCTGGCTCTCTGTGTGTGTTGCGTATGTTCACATTCATCTGAGACCATCTTCCGGCATGTCTGGCCAGCAGTACGTTGACACAAGCTCGTCGTCTTTTTTTCTTGCTGGCTGGAGGGGCTCCTCAGGCCGTGCAGTTTGGCTCTCACCTTTATCATAGCTTTTTCATGTAATTCCCTTGCGTTGCACTTTTAGCCACTTGGTTTACTTTACGAGCATCGTTGAGGCTTGACCCCCCACCTCCGTCTTTAAACGGGGTCAAGCCCTGCTGTCTTCATAGTGTCGACTTCGTCCGCTGTGGAGCTCGACTTTTGTCCATTATTACTCTGCACGCTGTGCTGTCCCGAGGCTTTGCAAAGGTGGCACGTGGATCGCCAACGGCTGTATCCCTCCTTACGCGCCCTCGGTGTTAGTGTGATTTGTCGTGCCGGCGCCGCTCGCCTTGGAGGTGGGGCTTGGAATGCCGGGCAGGTTGTGAGGAAAGCTTTCCTGAGTTGCTCTGTGTGCACGTCCCTGTCGCTTCTCTCCTCCTTGTCTTCTTCTCTGCAGTTGAATGGCACGGCTCTCTGGAATCCTAATTTTTTTATCGTGGCCCCGGCCCTCCCTGCCCCCACCTGCGGGGCAGGGACACGATGGGGGCGGCGTGGCACGGGAGCCCGGGCGGGCTCCGCACTCTGTGTTGAGTTTGTTCCATTTTTGTCCCTACCACGCGCGCCCCCGGCCCTTGCCGGAGAAGGCGGCACGGGAGGTTGCCCACAGCCTGCAGCTGGCACTGGGCTCGACCACAACCTCACGCTTCCATACAGGCCCCAAGAGGCCCCTGAGAGGTCCCCAAGATGCCCCAGGAGAACCCCGAGAGGCCCCCTAGAGCTCCCCGAAGGCACCCAGGAAGCCCCCAGGAGACCTCAAGAGGGCCTCAAGGGGCACCTTCTTCGTCCTTCTCCTCCTTTTCCTCCCTCCCCTCCTCCTTTCTGTTCCTCCCCCCAGCGTTCCCCTCCAAGGGTTCCGCAACGGCTGGGGGAACACACGCTCCGATAGCTTGGCCAGACTTCGGCCCAACGTTCGGCCGCATGGGGCGGCTGTGATTCGCAGTATTAGCAGGCGTCTTAGATAATGTTCGTGGATATGCGGAAGATTGACGGGGCGCCCTGCCTCTGCCAAGGCGTAAATCCCGAGGCGGTGGTCGGTTTTTTTTGGGGGGGGGAGGGCAGCTTCTCCCTTCCCCTGTCTCCTTCTCCCACCTTCTCCTCCTCCTCCTCCTCCTCCTCCTCCTCCTCCTCCTCCTCCTCCTCCTCCCTCCTCTTCCTCCCTCCTCCCTCCCCTGCCTTCTCCTCCTCCTCCTCCTCCTGCTTCCTCCTGCTTCCTCCTGCATCATCCTCCCTCCTCCCTTCCCCCGCCTCCTCCTCCTCCTCCTCCTGCCTCCTCCTCCCTCCTCTTCATTTCTCCTCCCTTCCCCTGCCTCCTCCCGCCGTTGGAGGAGCACCTGCTGAAGGCGCCCCCTGCCCTCGCTGCCGTCCTGTCCGCCACGCCCTCGAGGAGGCACAGAATGAGGTTGGGGGGTGCGGAGGACCTCCGCCCATGGGGGCCCAGGGATACACGAATACATGGACACAACTCCCAGGATCCCCCAGATGTTCCCATAATTGCAGGGCTTTCGTCTTTCCCTGCCCAATTCCCATATCATATGTTCCCCGAGGTTCCTGCGAATCGACGCTGAATTGTGCCTGGGCTTCCCCCCCCCCCCCCCCGAAAGCTGCCCCTGAAATGCCGGTGTGCAGCCAGGACGCCGCCGCGATCCTCGGACAGCCCCTCGCGCCTCGCCCTCCGGCGTCGCGGGCGCGGGCAGCGGCACAACAAGCCGGGCGGCGATGCTGGTGGTGGGATCGGCCGGCAGGCCCGACGCCACGGGGCACGGCTCCTCTGGAGGAGTCAGCGCGGCAGCAGAAACGCGCAGTCAGAGCGTGTGTTCAGGACGGGTGGCAAGGGCGCAAGACCCTTGGAAGGCCGAAGCTGGTTCTTTGTTGCGCGGTGGGCGACACGCGACAACGGCAAAGGACGGGGCCACAGGCGCAAGGACACTAAGGGTACCTTACAGAAGGCGCGCGTCTTCATCAGGCGCGTTGACTGTACACTGTTGGAGGTCCGCGCGGATTTCTTGGATCGGCGGAGGACGGAGGACGGAGGAGGACGAAGGAGAGAAGGAGGAGGAAGATGAGGAGGAGGAGGAAGGAGGAGGAGGAGGAGGGGGAGGAGAAGGAGGGGGAGGAGGAGGACGGGGAGGCCATGGGCCCCATCCCCCTCCCTGGCGAGCGGAGCTCGCCATCCTCCCGGGGGGCCCAGGGTGGCGACTCAAGAGATCCGCACGGAGCTCTGGCAGCAATTCCGCAATTTCCTCGATGGTGGTGGGTTCGGCCCGCAGGCCCCACGGCACGGGGCACGGCTCCACCTCCTCCTCCTCCTTCTCCTCCTCCTCCTTCCCCTCCTCCTCCTCCTCCTCCTCCTGCTCCTCCTCCTCCTCATCCTCTCCCTCCACCACCCCATCCTCCTCCTCCTCCTCCTCCTCCTCCTCCTCCTCCTCCTCCTCCTCGTCATCGTCATAGTCATCGTCATCGGCGTCGTCTTCATCATTGGCGTCGTCATCATCATCATCATCAGCATCCTCGTCAGCATCAGCACCAGCATCATCATCATCATCACCACCATCAACATCATCATCAGCATCGCCATCATCATCATAATCCTGATCACCATCACCACCACCAACACCACCACCATCGTCATCATCATCTTTACCACCATCACCAGTACTATCAATATCACCACCACCACCGTCACCACCACCACAATTATCATCACCGTCACTGTCATTATCATCATTACCAACATCATCATCATCATCATCATCGTCGTCATCATCATCATCATCATCATCAGTAGCATCATCATCATCAGCATCATCATCATCGTCATCATCACCACTGTCATCATGATCATCATAACTCACGACACTTATGATGGTGATCGTCATCGTAGCCGTCGTCACCATCATCAGCATCAACAGCAGCATCGTCATCACCACCGCCATCATCACCATCATCATCACCACAATCACCATAACTAAAACCATCACAGATCTCCATCGCCATGATCATCATCATCATCATCATCATCATCACCATCTGCATCATCAGCATCATCGTCGCCGTCATCACCATCACCACCATCATCATCATTACCATCATCACCGCCATAACCATCACCATCACCATCCTATGAGCATCACCATAATAATAATCATCGTCGTCATCATCATCATCACCATCACCATCACCATCACCATCATCATCATCATCATCATCATCATCATCATCATCATCATTACCGTCATCGTCAACACCATCACAGGCAACAAAAGCATCGCAATCACCATCACCCATCATAAGCATCAGCATCAGCATCACCATCCTCAGCATCATCATGATCATCATCAGCATCATCATCAAATGCGCATCATCCTCACCATCATCATCACCATCATCACAAGCACCATCATCATCACCATCACCGCGACCATCATCATCATCATCGTCATCATCAACACCATCATCACCACCACCATCATCAACATCACCATCACCATCACCATCACCATCACCATCACAATCATCATCACTATCAACACCGTCACCTCCAACACCACCACCATCATCATCGTCAGTATCATCCTCATCCTCTTTCTCACCTTATCCTCATCACCATCATCATCATCATCACCACCATGATCATCACCATCATCAGCATCACCATCATCACCATCACCGTCCCTACCACAACCATAGGCATCAGCGTCATCATCATCATCGTCGTCATCAGCATCATCATCAGCATCATCATCGTCGCTGTCATTATCATCATCATCATCATCAACATCTTATCAGCATCATCATCATCAGTAGCATCATCATCAGCAGCAACATCATCATCATCGTGGTCATCGACATCATCACCACTGTCATCATCATCAGAACTCACCACACTTATTATGGTGACCGTCATCGTAACCGTCGTCACAATCAGCAGCATCAGCATCAACATCGTCATCACCACCGCCATCATCACCATCATCATCACCACAATCACCATAACTACAACCATCATAAACCCCATCGCCATGATCATCATCATCATCATCAGCATCATCATCATCAGCATCATCGTCGCCGTCATCACCATCACCACCATCAACATCAACATCAACACCATCATCTTCACCGCCATCACCAGCACCATCACCACTCAATCATCATAACCATAATAATAACCATCATCATCATCATCGTCATCATCATTATCATCACCATCACCATCACCATCATCATCATCATCATCATCATCATCATTACCGCCATCGTCAACACCATCACCAACAACAAAAGCATCCCAAGCACCACCACCACCATCATAAGCATCAGCATCAGCATCACCATCAGCGTCCTCAGCATCATCATGATCATCATCAAGATCATCATCGACTTCGCCTCATCATCACCATCATCATCACCATCATCACAATCACCATCATCATCACCATCACCATCGACATCACCGCGATCATCATCATCATCATCATCATCATCATCAACATCATCACTATCATCACCACCACCATCATCAACATCACAATCACCACCACCATCATCATCATCACTATCACCACCGTCACCTCCAACACCACCACCATCATCATTGTCAGTATCACCCTCATCCTCTTTCTCACCTCATCCTCATCACCATCATCATCATCACCACCATCATCACCATCATCATCATCATCACCACCATCACCACCACCGTCCCTAACACCACCACCAGCATCATCGTCATCATCATCGTCGTCATCAGCATCATCATCAGCATCAGCATCGTCATCATCGTCACCCTTATCATCTGTATGACCACCATCATCATCAACTTGATCAGCAACATCCATACCACTATAAATCACCACCAACATGTTGACCATGATCATCAACGTGATCATAACCAACATCAACACCATCACCATCGTCATCATCATCATCATCATTATCGTCATTCTCGTCAACACGAGCCGGGCGGAGATGCTGGTGGAGGGGTCGGCCAATAGGCCCGACGGCACTGGGCACGGCTCCTCGGCGCCCACTGGGATCTGTTCACAACGCGGGTCCCCAGAGGTCTCGATCCTCCCCTTTTCCCCAGGAGCAGCTTCTCATTGGAATCGATTTTGACGATCCCGGGTCCTGGTGAGGGCTCCCAGAGGCCGACCACGGCCCAAAACCATCGGCCGTGATCCTGGGTTGGAGCGCCGTCTAGTTTTAAGTCGGGCGTGTCCCCTTGCAGGGGAATTTTGGGCGAACGCATAAAAACACACACAAAAAAAAACCCGGATGGGCAAAACAAATTAAAAAAAACGTCCCCTGGTTATTTTTAAAATTATTTTTGGATATTTCCCCTGTAGAGGGACATTGCTCAGGTCTGCGGCCGCCACTCGGGACGATTCCAGCAACCCTGGAACGGTCTCGGCGAGGCGCAGCTGCTGGAACGCATCCCGAGGCCGGAAGAATCGAGAACCGTCGAAAACGCCTTCACACCTCCAGCCTCGAAACTCCCCCCCCCCACCCTCCCCCTCCTCCTCCTCCTCCGCATCCTCCTCCTCCTCTTCCTCCTCCTCCTCCTCCTCCTCCTCCTCCTCGTCCACCTCCTCCTTCTCCTCCTCCTCCTCCTCCTCCTCAAACTTCCCCACACCCCCCTATCGCGAAGGTTGGCAAACCGCCGACGAGACTCGAAAACAACCACCCCCGGGGCCGGAAACGTCCCGAAATCCTCGGCCGTGATCTTCTTGCGAGTGGGCCTCTCCTCCTCTTCCTCCTCGTCCTCCTCCTCCTCCTCCTCCTCCTCCTCCCACCTCCTTCCTCCTCCTCCTCCTCCTCCTCCACCTCCTCCTCCTCTCCTCCTCCTCCTCTCCTCCCTCCGCCTCCTCCTCCTCCTCCTCCTCCTCCTCTGGTATCCTCTGGTATCCTACCAAGCGAGTCCAGCTCTGCCGAGACTCGCTCACCTGCTCAGTGGCAGGACCCGCCACCGAAGTCAAGGCCAAAACACCTCGGAACCTCGGGGCACCTGGACTGGCGCAGCGCCGCCAAGGGCTGGCGGTGCCCGCAGAGCACCAGACTCGGCTCCCTCGACCGCTTTCGGACCAGGGGCCGACACACGGGCGAGCGGAAACGGGTGCCCCCAAAACACGTCGCCCTGGGGTTCCCGTCCAGCCCGCAGACGGTCCAGGGCAACCTTCCCCAGACGGACCGAGTCCCTGGGGCGACAGGACCAGGGACGGCAGGGCACGGCCAAAAGATGGGTCTGCCGACGGGCGTAAGCCCCGCAGAGCTTACAGAAGACGATCGCCTCGTCCCCCCCATGGCTCCGACCGACCCCACCACCCGTCCCACGCCCACGCCGAACCACCCACAGCCTATGGGAGGGATGGGCGATCGCCGCAGGCCTAGGCACTCCAGGGCACGGGTGGCAGACTATACGAGATCGGAGCCCATTCCTTACCCCACAGATGCCACATCCCCAGGTCCTCCCAAGACGGCCCAAGACGTGCCCATTAGGGTTCGCCACGAGGGAGAGGACCTGCTGGGGGCAGGGTCGGGGAAGAGGACTCCGATCGGGCCAGCCCGCGCCAGCGACACTTTTCAACACGGCGCCATGATGGCGGAGGAGCAGTTTGCTCGCTTCCACCGCCGAGCTCACACGGGTGGCGAGCTCCTCCATCTCCACGAAGTCCCAGTGCAGCCTGGCGCCCTCTTTGGCGCGCACGTCGGCCTCCTGGTTGCCGATGTGCCAGTGTGCTGGCACCCCTGCCGCCTCCGCCACCGCCCA